TCCACTCCTCCCCCTCCTTCCTCATCTTCTCCCCCTCCCTTATGACTCTCCCATCACCTCCTCCCCTGCCATGTCACCAGTCACAGCCTCAAGCTATAGAGTGTAAGGTACTGTACATTCTCTTTTCCTTCGTCACTTCCTCTTCCGTCCCAAGATGATCCACGTTCCTCTGGTCACCTGTCTACCAGTACCTGTTTATCTACCCCAGTCAGGTGGGATTAGAGTACAATTCCTCCTGGTAGTTCAGCCAGGGATGCTGTTGAAGTTTTGGCGTATGAGGATTTTTTTTTTAAGTTTAAGTTAAATTGTGTTGGATTATTTATGCAGGCAAGTCATCACGAGGTCGCTAGTCGTTTGTTTTCTGTGTCCAGAGTCCTTCTTTTATAGTCAGTATGGAGCTCACTGTAGTCCACATTTATACTGCAGGTATTATGATCAAAGCTCTGAAGGCAAGGTGTACAGGCAGTCAAATTAATATCGATCACCCAAAGGTCGATGGAATATAGAAAATGAGCGATAACAACCACCTGACGCCGTATACGTTCACAGGTTTCGCAGTGTTTCATATTGTTACGCACAGCAGAGTAGTCCATACTGTTTGTTGTTGACTGTACATGGCCAGTATATCAGGTAATACAATAATTCCACTGGAGTGTAACTTGCTTAGTGTATAACCTCAGCTTCGCACACACACACACACACACACACCACGGCGTAGAGTAAATATCCTGATACAACTGTTTAACTTAACAACATCTTGTCCACACACAACATTGTGACGTATATCATGTTAAGCTGGTGAGTCCGCATTAACACCACAGCTCCACCACGAGCACTCATTACCGCCTGGCGTTTCCCTTCACCCCACAAGACCTGCAAGTTGGTGAAATATACACCTGGAGAACGTTCGCCCCCCCCCCTTTGTTTTTTGTATTGATTTCATAAATACAAAAATGTTCATGATCAATATTTGATTGGAATCAACTTCCTAAACGAGGCAACACACTGATAGCTGAGACAGTCCACGACCAATACCAGGGCGGCTGAACATCTTACTTCCCAGGGCCAAGTAAACAGTCCTGCCTATTAATATTATATACTTAATGAAAACACAAGCACTGAAACTGTTTAATGATATAAATCAACTGTTTATTAGGGAGTGTAAGTATGTGTACGAATCATTTTTATTTTTTAATTGTTCTCTGTTTTTTATCTATTATAATCATCCCTCAGGTCAAGAAACCCTAGTACTACAGGCTGGATGTGGTAACTTCATCAGGTTAAGTCTCTTCTAAAAAAGATGTAGGTGACGGCTATACTCTCTCTCCTCTACGGCGTGAGCTGTGTTACTCCCTCAGTACACGTCACCGCCCCACTAACAAGATCCACCCTTCCACTCCCTTTGTTACTGCCTCTTTGACCAGTCCATCTATAGCCATGTTTCCTACAGTAACGCCACCACGGAACTGTAGCAACATACATTCACTACAAAGGTTAAACTCATTAACACGTTACTTGAGACTTCCAATGAGCCACCACCACCATTAGTTAAGGAAGGCGGTGGTGGTGGCTCGATAGGTTAGGTTAGGTTAGGTTAGGTTAGGTTAGGTTGGGTTGGGTTGCCGAGAATATGTAGACCGAAACCATATACTATCAAATCCCACTATGGAAATAAATATATAAACTATGGTCTAGAAAGCTTAAGAAAAAATCCTCAAGGACGTGAAGTTTGTAGCACTGAAAAATATATAAATGCTTTTGTGACAAGAGTTACCGACATGACCAGCCAGCACACAGAACCAGACACGTAGTTAGTGAGTTACTGAGGCTGTACCCATACCGGAACACTCAGCGTGTAAACTGTGTAATAAACCTTTAAAACATAACACTAGAACACTATATAGACTGTGACACTATGAGACAGTTTACACCTCCTGGTCTGTTATGTCAATAGTTCTTTATTTACTTCATTAACTTACCAAGACCTCATCTCCCTCCCGTAACATTCTCAGTGTCTTTAATGCCAAGACCTTTCTACCCCAGTCTTGCCAGTAAAGGTATTCAATTAATTAACTACTCTCCACTACCCTCGTTTCTGCCTACTCGTCTTACCTACACTCATTACTCACTCACTGTTCCTTCCTTCAGTCTCTCCTTACACTTGCCTGCTACACTCATCTTCTTTATAATATGTTGGCTGCTACTTCCCATCGTTTGTGCCTTATATGGAACTCTTCTCAAACACACACACACACACACACACACACACACACACACACACACACACACACACACAATCAACTGGCAGGTATAACAGAGGCATCAAGGAACGTCTTTATCAAACTGTATGAGGAAAGATTATTTAATGACAAATCTTCCTTCTAGAGAGAGATTTTGTGTGAGTGCAGCTCCATAACGGGAGAGTACTTTGAGGGTTAGTGAGTTGAGTACATACGTGTTCTTGGATTTGTGAGTACGTACGTGATTCTGTGTACTCTGGTTATGTTTTCTTATGTGTGGTTTTGTTTTTGGTATTCGTGTGTAGTGTATTATTGTTTATTTTTCTGTATCTTGTATCTCTCAGTAATCATCGTGTTATTCATTGTTATCTCTTTGTTATCCTCTTCAGATATAATTATTTTTTTTTAGTTTTCTTTATTATCATTATTTTTCCTCCAATTTTTTTTATATTTCCTCACTTTTTCCTCCTTTTTCCCCTCTTCAACATTTTATTTTTTCCTCATAGTAAAGTTCCTCTAGACTGTCATCTCGGGTCCTCTTATGAAACTTCGGCTTCAGTGAAAAAATTCCCCTAGACACCGCGATGGTCAGCTGAGGAAGGTGAGGAGGAGGGGGTGGGGGGGAGAAGAGGCCATGGGTTTAAACAGTAGATAGGGGGAGATATAGGAAGTTGGGGATGAGAGAACAAATGCTGTGCTAAGTAAGGGATTTTTTAGTCTTGGGGTGAGGGAGAGATAGATATGGGGTGTTAAGAGAGATTTGGGGTATGGGAGTCTGAGGAGGGAGCTGAGAGAGAGACAGAAAATAATCATGTTGCTCTTGGGAGTGAAGGTTGGTGAAGAAAGCCTTGAGGAGGGAACGTCTGAAGCCTTACACGTCCTCGCCTCACACCACGCGGCTGTTCCAAGTCCCAGGAATTCTCAACTGAAGGTCTTCGCCTTCCTGTGGTACTCACCCGACTACTACCACCACCACCACGCTCAACCTTAACTCATTCACCTTCACACAAGATGTTCCGCATTAATGCTGCCATGTGGTCTAAAACTTAATCAGTTCTTAATGTTATTTAGTTTTTAGAGTTCAGTCATAAATAAGTAGTCATTCTTAACGCCAAATAACCGTCGTGTCTTGTCAAAATCCTAACTGTAAAAAGTGTTGTAAATAATAAATCAACAGGTTTGGGTTTTGACGTAAACACACGAAAGGAAAGATTGGCGGACTGTAAATGTATGTTGAGAGAACTTGAGGGTCAACGTTGTCTGGTCACTCACGCGCGTCTCTATAAGATTGGAAAATTACTTGTTTTCTCGTGTTAACTCACAACATAGGAGACACCTGGGGTCCAGAACTAAACAGAGAGTTTCTCCTCCTATGCTATACATCATTGTTAATCCTACTGGAGGGAAGCATGAGAGAAAACCCTGGAATTCATTGGAAAAAAAAGAAACAGTTAACAAGGAATGTCTAGGAGCATTAACTCACCGCCTCTGAAGTAAGTCTCCACACCTGCTTCACACCTTTGTCACCACACCTGTCCTCATTCAGATACCTACAACAGTGGACAAAACTTGGTCAAAAAGAAAATAACTTTACAGTACTATAGCGTTAGGTTAGGTTAGGCAAGGTTAGGTTAGGTTAGGTTAAGTTAGGTTAGGTGCTAATTACACATGGGTAGATAATTGACGACAAGACATATTAACTAAGGCCGAGTTTATGCCTTTACTTATGGTCGAACACGCGATATATCTCCTGGTTCAGATGACTGGGTCGACCCCTTGGGAGGATCTTCCTGCCAAGTATCAAAATATCCTCACACCCCCTCACCAGTTATTACCTTCACATGTTAACACAGTCCACAGACGTGTAGGAGGAGGACGTGGCCACAGACGTGTAGGAGGAGGACGTGACCACAGACGTGTAGGAGGAGGACGTGGCCACAGACGTGTAGGAGGAGGACGTGGCCACAGACGTGTAGGAGGACGTGACCACAGACGTGTGGGGAGGAGGAGGACGTGGCTGGAGCGTGTAGGAGGAGGAGGACTACAGACGTGGGAGGAGGACGTGGCCACAGACGTGTAGGAGGAGGACGTAGCCACAGACGTGTAGGAGGAGGACGTGGCCACAGACGTGTAGGAGGAGGACGTGACCACAGACGTGTAGGGAGGAGGACGTGGCCACAGACGTGTAGGGAGGAGGACGTGGCCACAGACGTGTAGGAGGAGGACATACAGACGTGTAGGGAGGAGGACGTGGCCACAGACGTTAGGGAGGATGACGGCCACAGACGTGTAGGAGGGAGGACGTGGCCACAGACGTGTAGGAGGGAGGACGTGGCCACAGACGTGTAGGAGGAAGACGTGGCCACAGACGTGTGGGAGGAGGACGTGGCCTCAGACGTAGGAGGACGTGGCCACAGACGTGTAGGAGGGGAGGACGTGGCCACAGACGTGTAGGAGGAGGACATGGCCACAGACGTGTAGGAGGAGGACGTGGCCACAGACGTGTAGGAGGACGTGGCCACAGACGTGTAGGGAGGAGGACGTGGCCACAGACGTGTAGGGAGGAGGACGTGGCCTGAACTGTAGGAGGAGGATGAGCACAGACGTGTAGGAGGGAGGACGTGGCCATGGGCAGTGTAGGAGGAGGACGTGGCCACAGACGTGTAGGAGGAGGACGTGGCCACAGACGTGTAGGAGGAGGACGTGGCCACAGACGTGTAGGAGGAGGACGTGGCCACAGACGTGTAGGAGGAGGACGTATTACAGACGTGTAGGAGGGAGGACATGGCCACAGACGTGTAGGAGGGAGGACGTGGCCACAGACGTGTAGGAGGAGGACGTGGCCACAGACGTGTAGGAGGAGGACGTGACCACAGACGTGTAAGAGGAGGACGTGGCCACAGACGTGTAGGAGGAGGACGTGGCCATGGACGTGTAGGAGGAGGACGTGGCCTGGGCAGTGTAGGAGGGAGGAGGACGTGGCCACAGACGTGTAGGAGGGAGGACGTGGCTATAGACGTGTAGGAGGGAGGACGTGGCCACAGACGTGTAGGAGGGAGGACGTGGCCATAGACGTGTGGGAGGTGGACTTGGCCACAAACGTGTAGGAGACTGACGTGGCCATAGACGTGTAGGAGACTGACTTGTACAGTCGTGTAGGAGGAGGACGTGGCCATAGACGTGTAGGGTGGACTTGGCCACAGACATGTAGGAGGCTGACATGGCCACAGGCGTGTAGGAGGAGGACGTGGCCATAGACGTGTAGGAGGAGGCGTGGCCACAGACGTGTGGGAGGAGGACGTGGCCTGAGCGTGTAGAGGCTGACTTGGCCACAGACGTGTAGGAGGTGGACTTGGCCTGAGCGGTAGGAGAGGCTGACGTGGCCTCAGACGTGTAGGAGAACGTGGCCATAGACCTGTAGGAGGCGGCGTGGCCACAGACGTGGGGAAGGCTGACATGGCCACAGGCGTGTAGGAGGAGGACGTGGCCATAGCGTGGGGAGGAAGACGTGGCCACAGACGTGTAGAGGTGGACTTGGCCTGAGCGATGTAGGAGGAGGGCGTGGTCACAGGGGTGTAGGAGGAGGACGTGGCCACAGACGTGTAGGAGGTGGACTTGGCCACAGACGTGTAGGAGGAGGGCGTGGCCACAGGGGTGTAGGAGGAAAACGTGGCCACAGACGTGTAGGAGGAGAACGTGGCTAATAGACCTCTAGGAGGCTGACGTGGCTACAGACGTGTGGGAGGAGGCATGGCCACAGGCGTGTGGGAGGAGGACGTGGCCATAGACGTGTGGGATGAGGGACGTGGCCACAGACGTGTAGGAGGTGGACTTGGCTAAGCAGGTGTAGGAGGAGGCATAGGCCACAGACGTGTAGGAGGAGGACATGCTGGGCATTGGGAGGAGGGACATTAGCCAGAACGTGTAGAAGGTGGACTTGGCCACAGACGTGTAGGAGGACGGCCACAGACTTGTAAGAGGGACGTGGCCTGGCGGACGTGTGGAGGAGGACGTGGCTACAGACGTGTAGAAGGTGGACTTGGCCACAGACGTGTAGGAGGAGGACGTGGCCATAGACGTGTAGGAGGTGGACTTGGTCTGAGCAGTGTAGGAGGAGGGCGTGGCCACAGACGTGTAGGAGAGGGACGTGGCCAGAGACGTGTAGAAGGCTGACTTGGCCACAGACGTGTGGGAGGTGGACTTGGCCTGAGCGTGTGGGAGGAGGCTGACGTGGCCACAGACATGTAGGAGAGGAACGTGGCCATAGACCTGTAGGAGGCTGACGTAGCCTGGCAGTGTAGGGAGGCTGACATAGCCAGGGCGTGTAGGGAGGACGTGGCCATAGACGTGTAGGAGGACGTGGCCACAGACGTGTAGGAGGAGGGCGTGGCCACAGGGGTGTTGGAGGAAGACGTGGCCACAGACGTGTGGGAGGTGGACTTGGCCACGAACGCGTGTAGGAGGTGGTCTGGGGGTGTAGGAGGAGGACGTGGCCACAGACGTGTAGGAGGGTGGACTTGGCCAGAGCGTGTAGGAGGAGGCGTGGCCACAGGGGTGTAGGAGGAAAGCAGTGGCCAGGGCAGTGTAGGAGGGCGTGGCCATATGACCTCTGGAGGCGTGGCCACAGACGTGTAGGAGGAGGACGTGGCCATAGACGTGTAGGGAGGAGGACGTGGCCACAGACGTGTAGGAGGTGGACAGCCTAGACGTGTAGGAGGAGGGCATGGCCACAGACGTGTAGGAGGAGGACGTGGCCACAGACGTGTGGAGGAGGAGGACGTGGCCACAGACGTGTAGAAGGTGGACTTGGCCACAGACGTAGTGGGAGGACGTGGCCACAGACTTGTAAGAGGAGGACGTGGCCAGGGCGTGTAGAGGAGGACGTACAGACGTGTAGAAGGTGGACTTGGCCACAGACGTGTAGGAGGGAGGACGTGGCCACAGACGTGTAGGAAGAGGACGTGGCCACAGGCGTGTAGGAGGACGTGGCCCTGAGGCGTGTTGGAGGAGGACGTGGCCACAGACGTGTAGAAGGTGGACTTGGCCAACAGACGTGTAGGAGGGAGGACGTGGCCACAGACGTGTTGAGGTGTGGAAGACTGTGGGAGGACGTGTACAGACGTGTAGGGAGGAGGGCGTGGCCACAGGGTGTAGGAGGGACGCCCAGGCGTAGGAGGTTTGGGCGACGTGTAGAAGGAGGCACAGCGGTGTAGGAGGAAGACGTGGCACACAGACGTGTGGGAGGAGGACGTGGCCACAGACGTGTAGAAGGTGGACTTGGCCACAGACGTTAGGAGGAGGACGTGGCCTGGACGTGTAGGGAGGGAGGACTGGCCACAGGCGTGTAGGAGGAGGAGGACATAGCACAGGCGTGTAGGAGGAGGACGTGGCCACAGACGTGTAGAAGGTGGACTTGGCCTGGGCGATGTAGGAGGAGGACGTGTACAGACGTGTAGGATGAGGACGTGGCCAAAGCGTGTAGGAGGAGGACGTGGCCATAGACGTGTAGGAGGTGGACGTGGCCACAGACGTGTAGGAGGTGGACTTGGCCACACAGACGTGTAGGAGGAGGGCGTGGCCACAGGGGTGTAGGATGAGACGTGGCCACAGGCGTGTAGGAGGAGGAGGGGCGTGGCACAGGGGTGTAGGAGGGAGGACGTGGCCACAGACGTGTAAGAGGTGGACTTGGCCACAGACGTGTAGGAGGAGGACGTGGCCACAGACGTGTAGGGAGGAGGGCGTGGCCACAGACGTGTAGGGAGGCGGGACGTGGCCAAAGACGTGTAGGAGGAAGACGTGGCCACAGACGTGTAGAGGAGGACGTGGCCACAGACGTGTAGGAGGACTTGGCCACAGACGTGTAGGAGGAGGGCGTGGCCACAGACGTGTAGGAGGAGGACGTGGCCATAGACGTGTAGGAGGAAGACGTGGCCACAGACGTGTAGAGGAGGACGGTGGCCTGGACGTGTAGGAGGATGTGGCCACAGGCGTGTAGGAGGAGGACGTGACCATAGACGTGTGGGAGGTGGACTTGGCCACAGACGTGTAGGAGGAAGGACGTGGCCACTGACATGTAGGAGGAAGGACGGCCACTGACATGAGGAGGAGGTGGACTTGGCCACAGACGTGTGAGGAGGACGTGGCCACAGACGTGTAGGAGGCGGACGTGGCCACAGACGTGTAGGAAGGTGGACGTGGCCTACAGACGTGTAGAGGAGGGTGGACGTACAGACGTGTAGGAGGCGGACGGCCACAGACGTGTAGAGGTGGACTTGGCCACAGACGTGTGAGAGGAGGACGTGGCCACAGACGTGTAGGGAAGGGGACGTGGCCACAGACTGTAGGAGGGAGGGACGGCCACAGACGTGTAGGAGGAGGACGTGGCCACAGACGTGTAGGAGGGAGGACGTGGCCACAGACGTAGGGAGGAGGACAGCAATAGACGTGTAGGAGGGAGGACGTGGCCACAGACGTGTGGGAGGAGGACGTGGCCACAGACGTGTAGGAGGAGGACGTGGCCACACAGACGTGTAGGAGGAGGACGTGGCCACAGACGTGGGGAGGACGTGACCACAGACGTAGGGGGAGGACGTGGCCACAGACGTAGGAGGACGGATGGCTAAGAGACGTGTAGGAGGAGGACACAGACGTAGGATGAGGACGTACAGACGTGTAGGGAGGAGGACGTGGCCATACGTGTAGGAGGAGGACGGCTACAGACGTGTAGGGAGGAGGACAGGCTACAGACGTGTAGGGAGGAGGACGTGGCTAGACGTGGGGGAGGAGGACGTGGCCACACACGTGGGGAGGAGGACGTGACCACAGACGTGTGGGAGGAGGACGTGGCTACAGACGTAGGAGGAGGACGGCTAAGACGTGTAAGAGGAGGACGTTGCCACAGATGTAGGAGGAGGACGCTACAGACGTGAGAGGGGACGTGGCTATAGACGTGTAGGAGGAGGACGTAGGGCACAGACGTGTAGGGAGGAGGACGTACAGACGTGTAGGGAGGTGGACTGGCCACAAACGTGTAGGGAGACTAACGTGGCCATAGACGTGTAGGAGATGGGACTTGGCCACAGTCGTGTAGGAGGAGGACGGCTAGACGTGTAGGAGGTGGACTTGGCCACAGACGTGTAGGAGGCTGACATAGCCACAGGCGTGTAGGGAGGAGGACGTGGCCACAGACGTGTAGGAGGTGGACTGCCACAAACGTGTAGGAGACTGATGGACACAGACGTGTAGGAGACTGACTTGGCCACAGTCGTGTTGGAGGAGGACGTGCATAGACGTAGGGAGGTGGACTGGCCACAGACGTGTAGGAGGCTGGACACACAGGCGTGTAGGAGGAGGACGTGGCCACAGACGTGTAGGAGGTGACACACAGACGTGTAGAGGAGGGAGTGTACACAGACGTGTAGAGGAGGATGCATGAGACGTGTAGAAGGCTGAAGCCAAGACGTAGGAGGTGGACTTGGGCACAGACGTGGGGAGGCTGACGTATCACAGACGTGTGGGAGGGAGGACATGCTGGTTAGGAGGCTGGACGTGCTCACAGACGTGTAGGAGGCTGACATGGACACAGGCGTGTAGGAGAGACGGCCATAGACGTGTAGGAGGAGACGTGGCCACAGATGGGGAGGAGGCGTGCACAGGGGTGTAGGAGGAAGACGTGCTGCAGACGTAGGAGGTGGACTAGCCAGACGTGTAGGGAGGAGGTGTCACAGGGGTTAGGAGGAGGACGTGGCCACAGACGTGTAGAGGTGGGACGGCTACAGACGTGTAGGAGGAGGGCGTGGCCACAGGGGTGGTGGAGGAAGACGTACACAGACGTGTAGGGAGGAGAACGGGCTATAGACCTGTAGAGGGAGGCTGATGGCTACAGACGTAGGAGGCTGAAGAGACACAGGCGTGTAGGAGGAGGGACGGGCCATAGACGTGTAGGAGGAGGACGTAGCACAGACGTGTAGGAGGTGGACTTGGCCACAGACGTAGGAGAGGGCACACACAGACGTGTAGGAGGAGGACGAAGGCTGCAGACGTGGAGGAGGACGTGGTCTACAGACGTGTAGAAGGTGGACTTGGCTACAGACGTAGGAGGAGGACGTGGCTACAGTATTGTAGGAGGACACAGAGACGTGTAGGAGGGGAGGACGTGGCTACAGACGTGGGAAGGTGGACACAGACGTGGTGGGAGGAGGACGGGCAGACGTGTAGAAGAGGACGTATACAGGCGTGTAGGAGGAGGACGTAGCAAGAGGTGTAGGAGGAGGAGGCCACAGACGTGGGTGGACTTGGCCACAGACGTGTAGGAGGAGGACGTATACAGGCGTGTAGGAGAGGACGTGGCCATAGACGTGTAGGGAGGAGGACGTGGACACAGACGTGTAGGAGGAGGGCGTGGCACAGGG